TCCCCAAACCCCCTTTGACAATCCCCCGCGCAATCCCAGCCTCCCCCCTCCCCAAACCAGTACAAGGGACTAGCTGCTATTCTAAATTATGCTATTTGAGAGTAAAATTTTCTTCACTTGTGGTGAATTTCATGTAGAACTGTCACTAACCTAAGTATTTCTTTTATTGCAACTTGATTCTTTCTTGTCTAGATAAACTCCTGTAATCATTTTGGGTTGATTTTCCCATGGGTAACCACCATAATGTCAGTGGGATCTCCATCTGATAAAGATTACTCTGAAGATATCTCAAAACTACAGGTATGAAAATCTTACTGTTTATTGCTTCAGTACATTCTGTGAATGTTTGTGTATGTATGAACAACTTTATTGAGTAGACTTCCCTCCTTCCACCCCAGGTTATCCAAGTTTAACTAAAAGGCCCATTGAAATGATGGAAGGAAAAAAAAACAGCTGAAGAGATATGTCAGTAACAGTGATATTTACATTTTCAGTCCACTCTAAACTTGCTTTCTCAGTTTTCAGTAACATTTCTTAGAGGAAGTATTATTTCAAGATTATTACGATCAGTAAAGGCTTGTGTTCTAGTGTTATGGTTACCATTTTTTTGGCAAAGTTTGTCTTAAATCCAAACAATACTTTTTCTTCTTGTCTTCAGTCTCTTTTATGTAGTCAGTCAATTGATATAGCTTCAGCTCTGCCTCTCTTGGAGCCCCTGACAGAGGTTGGCAATATTGGCCTCACCATCCATGTTCTCTGCAGTACCCGTCTAGGCAAGTATGAGGAAGCCATTGACCAGCTTCTCAAAAGGTGCCCTGATGCAGCTGTGTTATATGCTCAGCATGAGCTGAAAGATGACTATAGGGTCAGTTACTTTCAGTTTGTTTTGTTTGATTGGTTGTTTTTTTCCCTAACTAAAATCCTGTTGTGTATGGGCGAACTCTGGATGGATAGAATAGCCCAGCTGCTTGCTTTGAACCTCTTGCTTGGCATTTACATTCTGTAACTTAGTCTCCACTATTTTTTTTTCTTCCCCCAGTTTCTTCTGTGACTTCTTGTATTCATTCTGGTAAATTTAAAGCATAATTTCTTTCAGATAGTAGTGCCTCAGAAAAGGGAGAATAGTATGTTCTTACTCCACTTTAAGTGAGAAACTAGCTCACTGCTCAGTGTTCTAAATTATTTGAGTGTCATATAATGTGAAATTTTAATGATAAGCTAAATGGTAAGAGAACATAGTCTTTCAAACAAAAATCAGACTTAAATATGTTTTTATGTGTTCTAGTGACTTCTTCTGACCTGACAACATCAGAATGGTACTGATGCAGTAGTGGAAAGATTATGTTCTTTAAGTCCTATTTTCCATTTGGGCCTCTATAGTGTTTTAACTTTGGAACTGATTTTATTCCAGTGTTCCAGAAATACAGGAGTTTATTTCCATTGCCCATCACAGCTAGTCAATTATTTACACTTAATTAATTGTGCATAGTTTTACTGTCCAGAGTCAGCAAAGGTGAACCTCTACCAGATTAGAACTCTGTTCAAAGCCAGATTTGGCTTTTTATTTGGATCTGAAAACAGTTTATTTGATTGTTTCCATGTTAGTTATAGCATTGGATGTGAGGTTACAGTACTGAATTTGAACACAGATGAAAAAAGAGTTGCCATGTTTAAAAAAGATGGGAAGAAATTCCTTCCCCTCTCTCCATTCTTATCAACAAACATTATACACAGAACATAATTCACTACTACAGCTGTTGGGAGTAGACAGATTATTAGGTCAGGAGACAGAACAGTGTTCTTATAGTAATGCTCTTCACCACTTAAATTTTCTGACTGCAACAGTTTGCCAGTTATGACTTTTCTTTTATAAACTCTCATTTATAGAGGCACTAGGGGGCACTGTGTAAAAGATTTTGAGTAGAGAAAGATCGTACTGCAGGTCGAAATACAATGTGCAAAAAACCACTGCATTTCAATGTGTCATCTAAATTAATTACTGAGTTCATCATAACCTACCTGTGTTTTCACTAATCTGAGCTTAGTTTGGTGTATTTTTAGAAGGTCTTTCATAGTCTTAATTGCAGTCCTTGTTAATTTACACTTTTGCTGTGGGTTTTTGGTGGATTAGGCTGTGTGGTGGAACAAGCTGCTTCCTGAACTTTGCAAGAGAACCAGACTTACTGGAAATGACTGCCCTGTTCTTATTTCATCACTGAAAGGTAAATCAGTTGCTTGCAACTGGACTCCAGGAGCCTTGTATGTCATCTGACATTCTAAATACTGTTCAGGCTAAGAACTAGTGATGTGATAATTGGAAAAAAAAAGGGCACTTTTTCTACAGTTAAAGCTAATACAGCTCAGCAGGCTTCCTAGTCACTAGCACAGGACTCTGCAGTGTACAGCATCAATGTATTGAAAACAGTTAAACTGTTAGAATCATATTGTTTTGGTACAGGTCAAGGGTAGACACCATTAAAAAAATCTTACTGTTTTTTTTTTTCTAGGCTAAGTGACTATATGGTTCTAAGGAATGACAGCTAACAGGCTACTATTGACAACCTTGTGTGTGTTTAAGTGCATTGATGATTTGGTCATAGACTAGAAAAAACACTACTACAAACAGAGAAACCAACCCTGGTAGTTGATGTAGTCCTATTGTTAAATGTTTGTAGGAAGTTAATACTATTGTGTATAGCTGAAGGCCCAGTGTGTTTCTTGTGACAGAATATAAGACTGAATACAGCACATATATTAAAAAAAAGCCAATGTAATGCCTGTGGAGAGAAAAACAGCAGCATCATGGGGCTGTGTTGTGCAGCACAGGTTGCCGCACCCTATCATAATGTTTTCATTTCTACTGCTAGCAGTTTGTCTCTTGAAACAGTGTTTTCATGCAGTAACTGTCCTGTAACTCGGTGTCTTGCCAATGACTAGGCCTAGCACGAATGACACAGCCAGCAGAAAGACAAACCAGTAACTTGACTGTATTGAATATGGAAAAGTCATTCCATGAATAATCACTGTACAATTGGGTACAAGTAAGTCAATTAGTTCACATGCAATCGACATCACCCCCAACAATCCCAACAACGATATTACCCGACCGACAACAGGCAGAACAAATAAGGGGCCAAGGCTTCCCGTAGACGGAATGGAAGACAACCAAGTCAACAGGTCAATCACAGAGGATAAGGGTGCCCACATGGCCATCTCTCACCCTCCTAGCCCGCATTTACAAAGGTCCAAGCTGACCGGGGCCCAGCTCCAGGGAGAGTCAGGAGGTCCTTCCTCAACCAGGAAGCTCTGGAGAGTGCACTCCACAGACAGACACTCCTCCCTTCCTGCCAGTGGTCCCAGCTTTTATCCCCAAGCAGACACCTGACCTTTGTCAACTCAATGCGGGACCCCTGGGGCTCATTTCCCTTATGGCTCTCCCTGCAGGGCCGGCCGCACCCCGGGGGGAAGCTATAAGGCAAACTCACCACCTCTTTATGAAGGGCTGTGGGAATCACCCATATGTCAACCTTAACTCTGGGCTCGGGGTTCACACCCCAGCATTTCACTGCGTAACAACATAGTGTTAAAAGAGTTTGGTCTGAGAAGCTGCTTGCAGAGCATCCCACTTTACAGATAGTGCTGTTAGAGTATAGTATAGATTTCTCGGGCTTCCTTAGCATGGGATACAAATCACGTGAAGTACTAGATCAGACTTTCATAAGCGTTAGTGCCACAGGTAGACCTGCTGAATCAAGACAGAGGTATGGTTTCAATCAAAGATAAAATCTCAGTTTCCTTTTGAGATTTCCTGTATTTGCTCCCAGATGGATATGTCTCAAATTCTATTCCAGTTGCAGTATTTGGATAGTTTGAGGACTTCAATTAGTAATTACATTGTTAATGTTTTTTAATTTCTTTGTTCTTAAACTCAAATACCTAAACAAGATTTTCTCCCTTGCTCTGAGCAGAAACTTTATCAGTTGTTGCAGTGGAGCTTGAACTAAGTGACTTACTCAGTCTTCTACCAGAGGATGGAACTGCAGCATTTTTCCTCCCGCATCTTCTTCACTGCAGCCAGAGGAAGCTGCTGACCTAAGAACAATGGAAGTCTACTCTGCACTTAAATATAAAGAATGTACTAGAATAAATTAAACAAACAGTAGAATATGTATAAGGTACCAGTGGGACTCCCCTCACATAAATCTCCTTATTCCCTTGTTGAAACCATCTGACAACTATTGAATGGCAGCTACTGTCTGAGGTGAAGCATCTCATTTGAAGAATTCCTTCCAGGTAGAACCAAATGGTGGTTGGACTGGTAAAAAGAAAGCCATTCAACTGCTAGGTGGGATCACTCATCTTCACAATGAGGGTTAACTTATGGCCAGAGCAGCTAGAAAATACAGACTGTATGGTATAATTGTGCATATAGTGTTCACTGAACATAAAGTAGGAAGTCAGTCTTAATTCCGTGTTAGTGATTTATATCACTGACCTAGGGAGGAATTTAAGTTCAGGCAGGAGTCTTAACTGTGTGAGTAAAAGAAAATGCCTTACTCTTCCAAGTACAGTTGGGCCCCATTTTACTTCATTTTGCAACATAGACATGCCCTTGAATTCCGGCTGGCAAAAACAGTCAGCTGCTCTGTCATCTTAATTACATACCTGTGCAGGTGTTACACTGAAAATGTTTTCCTTTAGCAATTCACAAAAAAAGGCCATAAATTAAAGAGAAATAGAGGTGTTACCAAGTGGAGTGGAAGATACAGATTACTGCTTGCTTATTGGGTTTTATTTTCTTTCTTCTGTTGTACTCATTCAATATTTGAAGTATTGCCAGGCAACAAATCCATCTGAAAACTCTTATTTCTTTTTTTCTTTTTTTCTTTTTTTTTGTAAGCGACTCAGGTATTTGTGCATGTATGTACTGATGTTTGTCTTTCTTTTGGGCACAAAATATCCTTCTGTTCCTTCAAATTGAATTCAGTCATAATAAACTGTCACAAAGACTTTGACCTTCTTATGAGTGCAGTTTGGTTTTTAGAGAATGTACAACAAATAAAACAGTGACTCCAGGATCCCATAACCATCTAAAGGTCTAATTAGGTGACGCTGACTCTTATCAAATCTGTTTTCATTGAAGCTGTAATGTTACTTAAACCTGTAGAAGTCAGTCATAAGAGATCATTTACATTGCAAATTAAACATTTTAAAAAAATAAAAAGAAAGAAAAAGTAGTTTAACATAACCTGTGTTGCACTCCTACTAAAGCCAAACTCAATGATCTAATTTACTAGTGGGATTATGCTGCTTTCAATAGAATCTTTCTACCTTAAAAAAAGCCAAAGCAATTTAGGCTTGTTACAAAGAAGTTACTTCCTCTATGGTGGTAGCTGTAAAGCACGAATTTGCCTGCTTGTCCCATACATCCTTCCCTCTTGTTTGACACAGGTGTGACGTACCTGGCGCTGGGCTATTAAAACACAAGTGGATGGCACAATACCTGCTCTTATGGCTTTCATTTTTGATCAGCCTCAGTCATGCACTAATATTGTGGCTTCCATCTGTCAAGAAACACTTCATTTGCCTGCATCTGCACCACATGACTAACAGCAAAATGATTCCACTGTAGAAGCTGTTTAAGATTCATCAGAGCAAAGCTTTTGGGTATAATAGTCACCAAATTTTGCCCTTCACTACCTGAATTTCATCAGGCTTATTTTGGCATAACTTTGACCATCTTAAAATTATTTTCGTAACGGAAAACCAGAAGCATCTTGGGCAACCATGATCCCTCAGCCACTGCATCTTTTAAATTCACTATCATGAAAGATGTTACCGAGTAAAGTTAAAAAACAATTCAACAAAAATAACAAAACTTTTGTTAGCTGTTCAGTTATACGATGGTGTATATATTCTAAGTGTGAACCCATGGAAAAAGTGATAACCAAATTCCTACTTTCCAAGCAATAGCTACTAACACGTCTGGCTAGTAAAATGTGACAGCAGAAACCTAAAACAAATTTTGCTCTTACACAAGTTTATTTACAAACTTTAAAAAAAGGAAAGCGCATTTCATTTCGCTTTTCCATATCCATTAGGCATCACATAGAATATGTTTAGCTTGGAAGATAATATTTTTTTTATTTAGAGAAGAAGATATTTCTAGGTTGTTATGTCCATTCAGTTATCTTGTATTATCACCCTTTTATTAGTTGTGGGCCATCAAATGAAATCTTCCAAAACACACCTGGGGATGAATTGTCCGGGAGACAGTATTTCTCAAGAAATGCTTCAGCAAAGGCAGACCGTGGAGAATCACTGTGGTAAAATGTTTTCCTCATTCTAGTGTGCCTGCTGTACTCTTACATTTGAACTGATAGAATAATCTTGGCAACCAAGACTGTTTGTCTGTAAGGGTGAAAATAGCTTTTGTTACATGTATTTGATGAAAAAAAAATAGATATGTGTATGGACAACAGAGTCCAAAATGAGAGCAATAGATCTTTCTAGACATTGTGAGTAAGACTTAAAAGCAGCTTTTAAAATGCACTGAAGGGTACATTTTAATGCACTTTAGATGGCTGATTACAAAAAAATCCAACATACTGCTTCTGTAAGTTAAAATCTCTTTCTACATCTCTGTGTACTCTTAAGTCAGCCGTTTTATCATCTCTGCAGGTTTGCCACAATCAGAATGGTTTATAAAATAGAAATAGATTGTTTAACATTCCAGTCTGTATTTTTGGCATAGATACACATGTAAATCATATATATATATATATAGGTACACAACTATATGTGGACACACACTTGAAATGTTCCTACTGTTCTCTTTCTGACAGTTAACTATAACACATAATTATTATGTTCTGTCTTTTGAGTACAGCAAAGTTGCTTTTAAAATTTAATTAACTTTGTGGAAACAAGAACTTTAAAACTGCTTTGAGATTCAAGTTTTTTTCATGGGTAATATTGCTAAAGGAAGGTAATAGTGTCTCTAGAGCTAAAACAGGAAGAAAACACTATTTTAGTTTTTTAGTACTTTAACTGTTAGGGATGATGGCTTCAGCTTTTATTCCAAACAGGTCTGTTTAAGTGAAGACTGAGAGGGAGTCTGATGCTACTAGTATTTCTTGGGTACAGACATATTACATCTCATGAAGAGTTCTTTTAAAATAAAAATGTCATTTTGATTTCATTGATGGGAAGCTGAAGCAATTAGTCAATTAAAATCCAGTCCTTTAGCTACTTCTGTTTTCTCAGTAGCAGTACTAATCAAGTGGCTTGCAACATTCTGGCCTCCAGACAGCAATACTAAGCCATGAAATTCTGTTGGATGCCTGAACTGGATCTGAGTACACTGGCCTGTCTGTGAGCCTCATTCTGCACCTTTAAACATAATGAACATGATTGAGATAGATAAGCTCCTACCTTCCTTTGGGAGCACTGTGTAGGTGGTTTCCATGCCCCCATGGATGTGGTCAGTAACGTGACAGTGCAATAACCAGGTTCCAGGGTTCTGTGGGGTCATTTCCACAGTTTGAAATGTCCCAGGGAACAGATCAAAGACATCGGCCCGGTAAATCCCTGTTTGCTTCAGGACAAAAAAACAATGGTTAAACAGTTTGGCATTGCCAGGTGGCAGTAATTTAAGCTATCTTTATGCATATTCCCACCAAACTTTTTAATCACAACTGAGAGAAAAGACATCTACTCTATGTCATTTCTACAGAAGCATCACTTTGTACCTGCACTTTGTGCTTAAAAGGTTAATAAACCAGCAACTAAATGGAAATGAAGGAAAAACTACAGCTGTTGTCTTACCACAGCCGTGAAAATTCACATCTATGTTGTTGAAGCAACTTGTGAGGTTCTTGGTTAGCAAATGCTAACAGATATTCTCTCTCTTGTGTTTGTCAAATACAGGTTTGGGGCATAAAAACCTTATGGTCAAATTACAGGTCCGGCATAATACTGTAGTATCTGACTTTTCACCAGAGCTTACAGTCCTTGATATTTGATCTACCTGTCATTATTAACACAGTGAGAAATGAGTGGAAAGGAGCTGTTACCTTATACTCAAAGCTGTGGCCATGGAAGTGTGCTGTGTGGATGTCTATTTCATTGCCCATTCCCATCAAATACCAGGTGACTGTATCCCCAGCATGCATAGTCAGTCCATGTAAATTTCCGAACACCTTCCCATTAATGGCTAAAGAGAGGAAAAGAGCAAGCCAGAGAAAATATGTCACGTTTTGCATATTGTTATTCTGTAAACTTCAAGAGAATACCTGATTTGAAAGCCAACACTGGGCATATGTAACACCTTTGAATGGTACATAAAACCAAAACAATGAGATAGCATATTATGAATGGGCCTGTTTATATTCCATATTTAACTAGAAAGTAAGATGTAGTTAAAAGTTCTTCTCTGTACACTATTGCTAATATTGCAATTTCCTGCAGCTCTTTGTACAGGGGAGGTTTTAATAGGACATGCTTTCAGGGTGCACATGGCCTTTCCACCTTATTGAGAACAGTTGTTTGCTGACATCAGATAAAAATTTCAAATTTCATTTTTACTCTTTCTCTCCTCAAAACTTCAAGGTGGGACCATTGTTTTCATAGGTTAAAAAGAAAAAAAAAAAAGGTAGCAGCATCAACGATGTTTTCAAATACTTTGGGTGAAAATTTCAGGCTGTCCACCTTAGAACTGGAAATTCAGAGGGGATGAGAAAGTCAAATTTATATGCAGTACTTGAAAATACATAATTTTATAGAGCTTTCCAGAGTTACGTTCAATAAATTGGAAAATTAGGAAACATACCATGCATTTTATTACTTTCAAGGAATTCCTCATCCTCTTTGTCAACAAGGTGGGGGTGGGTAGAATAGGTTTTAATGTTCTCATCCAGGTACCATGACTCATTTTCATCAAAAACCATAAAAAGAAGAGCAAACTGAACTTTCTCTTTAGTATGAAATGATGGTGAATGATATCTATGACACACAACAAGTGTTCCTATTAATCCACTGTAAGTATCCTGAAATTACAAATGAAAAAACATATAATTACAAGCGGTGGCTAAGCAGAAGCACTTTTAATGCCAGACACAAATCCTCTTTTTACAGCTTTCAGTATCTGTGAATAAAGGTAGCCAGTGCTAAACAAGGCTATTTCTTCACTGTTATATGTTACCCATGATCAAGTTCAATGGACTATGGAAGAGTAACTGCCTCTTTTTCATCTCTTTCTAGAAACAAACATTTGTTCCATTTTAATTTCTTGCTCATGCTTTTTGTCCAAATTCTGTTTCAAGTTTTACGATTCTGAGCTTGGTTTCCATTCAAGATATACTTCTTTTTTGTGTGTGTTTTCTGAGACATGAAGGAAAGAATACATTGATTTCCATTAAAAATTGTTAGTCACGTTAGTGGGTGCTTGTACAAAAATGGCAGATTTATGTTCCACAGTTGCGTGTTAGTTTTCCCACACATGACTGATTAGCTATTGAGCAAATTACAAGGTGTTATCTTTAAGAATGAAATCTGAGTAAGGTGATCTATACAAACAACAGAATAACCAGGGAGCAAGAACATGAAGGGCTCTGACTCTCAAATCCTGCCCTGACTTTCTTGCATTATTCCAGAGACATTTAAATTCAGAAGTATGGTAATGGCGGAATGATGTGACAGAAAGCAGAGATTCAAATTCATCTCTCTTTTGCTGTAAGCGTATCTTATGTTGAAGTCATGAGCAACACCCTTTAGGTTGATATTAATAATATACCTTAACCATGTCCACCGTTGAATGGTATGCCCACGCAATACAATGTGGATCTCCTTTCTCAGAACTAGATCTCTCTGGAATTTTCCAGACATACATTTTTGTTTCACCTAGAATTAAATAAATATTGATGAGTTTTAGAAGTTTTCTGTGTACTGACTTCTAAGAACTTATCCTGAAACAGATGTTATCTCCATTTCCAGCTTATATTTGTCTTGAACGTCCTCTTCCCAGTTACTGCACTGGTACTACTTCTGCAAATCCCTGACTCTTCTTGCCAATGTTTTGAAGGCTTTTTTTTGGTGTGGCTACACTGTCCAGTTTACCATACTTAATAAAACCAATTGTATTTTTTTGTAAAGATCACAGAGGAATTTCTGAAATAATAATAACCAGCATAAGCTATTCTCTCCCTGTGTAGCCAAATCTATTTGCTTTCATGATAGGTGCAGCCGTGCTTTGTCAAAAAGTCACTGATCTGCCAAGGGCTAGGATACGTTGCAATGCATGTTAGCAGGGCACTTTTAATTGTAGAAATATTAGTCATAATCAGAATAAAAAATATAAGAACCTGTAAATGGTTCTTATAAATGTAAAAAAATGTAAAAACAAACAAACCAACCCGGTCTTTCCTGCTATCATAAAATGAAAGCTTGCTAAACCTCCCTAGAAGGCTTGATGTTACCTTCTAGAAATGAAGAAAGATGCTTTGATACCTGGGTTAGTTACAGCAACAACCGAACTGTCTGTTTTCACTCCATGGGCATGTATTGAATAAGGTCTTGATGCCAAGTTCTTAAAAACTATTATAATTTTATCTCCAGTATTTGACATAAGCAGTGGTCCTATTGTATTGAAAAGAAAGATTAACTTGGTTTTACAAAAGTTGAGAGCAGAGAGGGAGAGAAAGTTTGTTGTATTCAAATACACAACAACATTGGGTTATAATTCAACTAGAAACTTTACATGGATAATGTAATTCACTATGATACACCAGCTTGAGTAGGTGAAGTTAGGCATCAAAGTAGAGGCCTAAGTCTCCAAAGCTCTGAGCACCTACTGTGTATTTCAGGTCAGTTTGGATGTTGGATGTTGCTGCCCAGTTTTATGCTGACTTTGAAAATACTGACCTGTGATCGGGCAGCAAACCAGAAGGGTTTTTTCTTGTAGGCAAGCAATGCAATCTTGCTAGGAAAGTGCCTTAAAAAAAATAGCAATTCCATGTAGGTTTAGGCACTTAGTCTGGGTAGAACTATACTCAGTATTATTCAAAAAGTATCTTCTTATTTTGCTTCACTACATTTTTCCCAGTTTCAAAACTGAGCTTCATGACGATTATACCTTGAATTTCCAGGTGCTGCTGCTCCTCTGTTCTGTTTTTGGGAGTTCTGAATGTCTGATCAGTGTACTCGCGATATACTACCTTTCTGTATTTTGAGCCAATGAATTTGTCTTCTTTATTTAAAAATGGATTGCCAGGGCTAAAAAAAAAAAAAAAAGAAGAAGAATAACAAAGAAATAGAGACAAGAATATGTTGTGCATTTCTTCATGTATTACAAAACATCTTTTGCTGTTATGTCAATTAACCATCAAACAAAAACCCAACTTAGTGAAACAGTAATCTCACAGAACACTGCTATCTTCAACATGAAAACATTCTTGTTAAGCTGGGGAGGTTTCTCTTAACATGGAAAGTTAAAAAGAAAAAAAAAAAAAAAAAAAGAAACCAAAACAAACCACTGTAAAGTCTATATAGTATTTGAGAGAATGCTGAGTGCTTGGTCTGGCAGGTAATTCAAGATGCAAGAAGTCATCCAGCAACTTTTATACAGAAAAACAGAGCCCTTGGTGACATCTGTAGATCTGAAATGAAGCCTAAAACTTGTAAAGCTTAAGTGCCTTGCTGAAATGAAATGTGAGGGACTTATTCTCTAATGAGATAATGAGGGCTGGAGACAGCGAGGAAAAAAAAGTCTGATAACAGCTTGGTCCATATTACTTGTGCTTAGAACTATGACAGAGTCCACTGTGGTTTGCAAGGCAAGGAAATGTGCTATCAAGCTGAGGGAAAAGAAGAAAATACAATTAAGTCAATAACAAACTATAGACAGTTACAATCTGCTGCTTTAACCTCAAGCAAAGTTACGCAGGTGGAACACAGAAATTCATCAGCTTCTTGTTTAGCCTCTTTTGCTAATTGGCATGAATTATTTGATCCAATCAGTTCCCTCTCTTTGAGATTCAAATACTGGGAATAAAATACCAAGGTGACAAGCTTCACAGAGAAGTCATTTGATCATGGACTTATCTTGTGTAAGCTAATGAAATTAGGAGGCGTAAAAAGAACCTTACTCTGCATACACATAAACGTGAGACAAAGACACATTACATATTGTAAGCGACCAAACATCAGGGCAAAATAGTCATCGTATCTACAACTGAGTGAACTTTTTAAGCATTCCACATCAAGGACTGTACCAACATCAGTACATAATAAATACATGTGCACTATCCAGGATTCATTAAAATGTGCAGCTGCCGCACAGAAGATTTATGTTGGACCATTTCATGAACATCATGCTGTCTGACTCACAGTTACATGGCAATGTTACTGGGGAAGGATCATAAATTCAAGTGAGACCTAGAAATATGTATGCAAAGAACGTGTGTCTGGAAATGCCTGGAGCAGTAAAAATGCTCAGAGGAGAAGTTAGTTACTCTTGCTTTTTTGCATTTTTTCCTTTGTGTATGTTCCAAAGTACCTTTCCTTATGGTATTGATGCCGTTCAAATTCCCATGTCCTGTTAGGAGAATAGTCCCATTCAACTTCCACTGCAGCAATATAGTAAGTCTTTTCATGCAAATACGTAGATAGATTCACATTCTGCTGATCGCATTGTTTCACTTCATAATTCTGTTTCATGCCTGCTGTGTAGTGATCTGTTGTCAGGCATGACACTTCAAAAACTCCTGCAGGTCATACAAGAAACAAAGACCTGAGGACAAAAATCTGTTACTAGTAGATCTTGAGATAGTATTACCTATTTTGATTTAGTGTTTAGAGACTGAGTCACAGGCTGTTGCTCATATAAGATACAAATGCACTGTGCAGGATGGCTTCTTTTAGTAATACAATTCAGCACACATAGAAGGTAGAAAAATCAAGGCTTTAGCTTTAAGAGCTTACATCCTATGAACACCAGTTGTTTGCTGCCCTTCAAACACAGCTGTACGCAGTTTTAGCACCCAAAGGATCAAAATATAATCTATTTAAAACTTGTCTGTAAGCATGAAATATTCATAGGTAATACAGTTTCTAAATGTAATAGTTTCTAAACTGGTAACAGGATTTTTAAGCAAGACACTTACCTTCAGAATCAGGCTTCATAATAGCTGTAAGAAATGTATGTGGAAACAGATTTGCTGTATCCCTTCTTGTTCCTTTAGTTGTGAATGTGTTTCCTGAAAAGTAAATCCCATGGATGTCGACTTCTGACCCCAAGCCCATCAAATGCCAGGAAACCACACTCCCTTTACACATCTCAAGACCACGCTGATTTCCATACATATAACCATTAATGGCTGTCGAAGATTTGGGGAAGCAAAACACACCTTGATTAACACGTTACTTAATTCTGCAATACAGGTTAAATAATACACACTTCAGATGCAATATGATGCTTTAGACTGACAGAAATATTGATAATAAAATACTTTATCACATATAGCGAAACTATAGAGTCAATTCAAGCAAACAACTTTTAAAACCCAGTGTTTAAAAACATTTTCTAACTGTTCTCCTTTTTAATGTTTAAAGCACAAACAGCTGACTTGACCAACTGGAACTTCCACTGATTTATACCCATCGAGTATGCAGGACACATAAAGCATCCTGCTTTATACCCTGCAAGACCCTCCAGCCACACAGTGGAGACAATCTCAGGTGTTTTTTAGTTGGAGTTACTAACCCTTTCTAGCTACTCCTGTACAAAACTTTCAAAGCCTGGGACCCACTGGTACTACTGAATGCTCACTATCAGGACTCAGTTAATAACAGGAATGGCCATGAGAGCAAAACCAAAGAAAGAGCACAAGCAAATATGTTTGAAGATCAGGACTTATTTGCATGGCTAGGTACTGAAGATAAAAATGTTCTCTCACATGAAAATGTGAAGATGTTTCCACAGTACCAAACTACTATCAGCATGAAACTTGGCTCTGCCCCATTAAAGAAACAAATTCATTTGTTTAGATTTTCATTCCAAAGGGGCCACAGTGCTGGTAAGAGAATCCAGACTCAGCCATGGACATAAAATGAGCCAGCAACGTGCCCTCTTTGCAAAGACAACTAATGGCATCTCAGGCTGCATTAGGAGGAGCGTTACCAGCAGGTCAGATCATAGCTGCTATTGTAGAAACAATAGTAGAAAAGCTTCAGTCAAACAGAGCTGGAAAGCAACTGAGGAGAGAAGGACATGGGGCTCCTGGCAGACACTGAGTTGAACATGAGCCAGCAACATGCCCTTGCTGCAAAGAAGGTGAATGGAATCCTGGGCTGCATTAGGCAAAGTATGACCAGCAGGTCAAGGGAGTTCTGTAATGAAGACAGAGCCAGGATTCTTCCAGTGATGCCCAGTGACAGGACAGAGGCTGGCACACACAGGAGGGTCCCTCTGAACATCAGGAAACACTTTTTCACTGTGAGGGTGACTGAACACTGGCATAGGTTGCCCGGGGGGTGGTGGAGTCTCCATCCTTGGAGATACTCAAAAGCCATCAGGACATGGTCCTGGGCAACCAGCTCTAAGGTGGCCCTGCTTGAGCAGGGAGTTGGAGATGATGACCTCCAGAGGCCCGTTCCAACTTCAAACAGTCTGCGATTCTGTTAAAATCCTCCTTCCAGCTACATCATCTGTAGGGCAGAGGCCAGTCTTTTCCTTGCTGCCTGGCTGCATTCCCAGGGGCTGCACATGGGCTAGAGACCGAATTCCTCCTCATGTCTGCTCAACGTGGTACATAACAGTGCTAAATGCTCAACTGCCATGCAAGACACTGAACAGCTGGCATTATACTTTGAACTACCACATTTAGCTGAAATTGAATTGCATTCAAACATGGTTTTCTTTCCAATGGAAGGGAATGAAAATTCTCTGCCACAATATAGTTTCCTAGTCTCCAACATGAGGTCACAAATCTTATTCTAGAAATAAATATTTCTTACAGTGCATTTTGTTAGACTCCTGGAAGTCCTCATCATCTTTGTCAATTTTGTTGGGGTTTAGTGTAAACATTAAAATATTGTCTTCCAAGTACCAGCTCAGATTCTCATCAAATACTGTAGCAAGTAAGAAAAACTCCACATTCACATTTTTCTGTTGGGAAGAAATAGCACAAAGGAAAAGAGAAATGAGTGAATGGAAAGTATCGGGAAAAAAATTCTATGTGCATAATAATTTATGAGTATAATTCACAAAGTAGGATAGATAAATACATTGATACTACTGATAATCTCAAAGCTTCTTCAATTGCTCTTTCTGGTGACTAGATGCCTGCTGCTAATGTTCTTTCTACTAGCAGGAACCACCTCTGGAAATGAGTGTGCGTTTTGGTCTGTAAAGCCTTTGCATTTTTCTAGTCATTCCCATCCTAGCTGAGACTTGAATGCCAGTGGTCGCTCATTGCAATGGTGGTTTCACAACATGGTGTCTGTCTGTCCGAAGCCAGACCAATTTAAAAAAAATAAGAAACAAACAAACAAAAAAAACCCAAGCCAAACCAAACCAAACAAAAAAAACCAAAACAAAACAAAAAAAAAAAAAAAACACCAACCATTTTCTTCATTTTATGTATTCCCCTCAGCACATGTGTGAGACCATGATGTGGAAAGGAGGTAGTGCTGAGTGGTCCTTACTGTGGCAGGCCCTGAGGGCACAATTCAGGAAGATAACACAGATTCAGCTACTATAATGCAAATGCTTCCATTTTTCTTCTTCAACTGACCTGTTTCCCAGAAGGAAGCAGGGCTCCCTTCTTGCACACCAGGAGAGGACCCACAAGGCCAGAACTGGTGTCTCTGACTGCATCCACAGCTGAGTAATAAAGCCAGGTTAAACAATCTGGATCTTGGTCTGTGGGGCCCACATCTTCTGGCACATTCCACTCGTATGTAAATGTAGTACCAGGACTCACATGAGAGGCTGAAGATTCAGTGCCTGTTATGGAAATCAACATTAGGACTTATGCTTTATGAGCATTGTTTATTTTATCATCTTTGGCACACAAAGGTGTACAACAGCACATGCCCTGGTGCTCGCAGGAGCCCTGTCTCTAGGCCCACCTCTGGAGGCGGCGCCGTACCAGGCACCCTCGTTGCTCTTGCGGTAGCTCACCCCATGGGGCTGGATGCTGAATGGGCGGCTGGCGTTGTTCCAGAAGGTTACCCTGATGCTCTCACCCACTTCAGCCTTGATAACAGGTCCTAGAAAAGACCACGTGGTCTAATTACAAGATGGTTCTACCAAGTGCTGTACAGCAGATCTCTACAAGCTTAGAGCAGTCCATGGCTGGCTGCTTTCCACGCTGCACAGGAACTGCCCTGGGCCTATACTCAGGGTCTCTGGCACACAGACAGGATCACATGGCACCCCCACAGAAACTGGACTGCGCCATCCCCAGCTCTTCATGAATGACCAGTGACATGCAGGACAGTTCCTCCCTTTGGAAGGAGACCTACAGATATTAGCACCAACCTCCAACTCAGGCCACAGCCATGCCAGCAGCAGCCAGGTTATAAATAGGGCTAGACCTGCCTAGACTGACCTTATCATTCAGAGCCTGACTTTCAGAGACCATGGCATATCTCCACAGAAAAGCTGGAGACCACCACAGCATTACCTTCAAGAGCTTTCTTACACCCTGGGGTGTCTCCTGGAGGAACCCACAGGCACTGACATCTTCAGGAGGCAGGGAGAGCCAAGGGCCACCTCCTCTGGAGATGGAGGGGCTCTGTTGGCTACCCAATGGAACTGGTAGTTTACTCTCATAAATCTTTGACATGAAATAATTTTAGATAACTTACCTAAGAGTCCAAGGTGTGCCTCCTCTGTGAGTCTTCTTTTATGTTCAGTGAAAGAACCATCTGTGTATTCTTTGAAAACTGCTTTTTTATAAGAGCCACCAATTCTTTTCTCACTTTGTTCAAAAAATATGCGAGATTCACTGCATAAAAGAAATTGCAATAGATGCAAACAGCTCAAGTCATAATGCTCAGCTTTACAAAGGCAGTCAGGACCTCAATCCTATTTTCTGAGGTATGATGTGCTGAGTTTGTCCTTTGGGGCTCCTTTCAGTGACCTGGCCACATGTTCATATGCAGTCCTATATAAAGATATGCAGGAATCCATTATCCTCAACTAACTTCTCTTTAAGAAAAAGATACTGTGCTGTGTTGCCCCTATGAAGCCAGCATGCTTAGAGACTTATCAAAAATTATTTCTAGTCAACATTTCGTAACCTGAAGTTTACTCTTTTCATTGAAAGCTACACATAATTCAACAACAGTGGATACAAACACCAAGAATATGTAACACCTAAATATAAAGTAAGATTTAGTCTATACACTTTTACTCTTCAAAAAAGGACCTTTCAGTATTTTACAAGCACTGTTCAAACAATGAACTGTGCCTCATCCCTTGTGCAGCTGGTAAGTACTCTTTAACTCATAGACAAAAAATCAGAGGAATCAATGTATTTAGTGAATTGATCCAGGTCTTAAATATGTAAACACAGAGCATAAGGCAAAGCCACTTCATGCAAGTTGTTTGCGAGCTGAAATGCCATTAGCATAATTTTCATCAGCTAAGGAGATGATACCGAATTCCCAGGTTTGCTTTCTAACACAGAACAATCAACCATCTTGAATCATCAGAGGTGACTGTCTATATATGATGTTACAATTCATCCTAATCCCAGTGAAATTACTGTGACAGGAAATTTTATAGTAAAATTACAAGGAAAACAATAGACATAATTTGGTCTGATATTTATCCTAACATTAATAATTAAGCAGAGGTGAGGACAATGAGAAATTCTGTTTAAAATCACTTCTACCACATGGCTTACCTTATTTAGTATGTTTGTATCAATTCTGCTTGGAAAGTAAACTTCTTTATTTAGAAGCATTTACCTGTCTGAAACTAATTCTTGTTGTGTAAAACTGTTTATTGCAGATGGGCCATAATTCCAGATGGTCTCTTCAGCAGCGATGAAGTATTGTCTTATTTTTGTACTCTCATTGTGATCTCTTGTGGATTTCCTACAGTCTTGTACTTTAAAAATGGCCTGCATACCACCTAGAAAAAAAATGAGGAGGCAGAGAAAACTAGGGAGAAGGAAGTACACTTTGTTTTCTCTTTTCCTGCTTCCAGCAGCTTTTCAAATCTTAAAAACTCAGTGTAGTCAAATCTGTCTGTTAAACATACTCAGTTTTATATCAGGAGTTTCATATCTTGGAGAATGATTTTGAGTTCTGCATTCCTTCCCACTTTTGTGACAATTTATTTCTCTAACTCACCTATAGGGATATATATTATGTAAAAGTGGGACATAGATCTTAGAAAAGGGTGGAATTAGCTTCTCAGTATTTCCTTCAGTTATCGAACACTGGAAATATAGGAAGATACAGGGAAGAGAAATGCAGATCATCTCTGCTTATTAGCCAATGCACTTTCTAGAATACATTTGTGTCAGCTGGCAAATTAGCCTGCCTGTGCTCTGTCCCTTGCCAACTTTTTTATTGGCAATCAGAAAATATGATTAATTACCTTCAGTAAAAGGCAAATATCATGCTATTGTCTAAAGTTAAGTCTTGCAAAAGTGCAAAAGTGTAGCTGGGCCAATTGCTGCCAATTGACAACAATTTTCATTACAGACAAGAATTTCTTTGATTTCTACATGCTTGCGGCCATCTAATACACTCCTAGGCATTTCAATTACTAGGAGAGTTTTAGTACCTAGAGAAAAATATCATCTGACCTATAACCAGGTCAGAAGTACTGCTAAAGTGACTCAGTAAATGGTTAGCTCAACTTAAGAAAAAAAAAAAAAAAAACCAAACACCAACAAAACCAACCCATATTCTGGTCTCTGAAAGTTATTCTGTACCTTCAATATGGTCATTCACTTGGCAGCTGAGCAGCCATTCCCCGGGACTCCTTGGTATCATGACAGCATCAATAAATGTGGCTGGGAAGAGGTTGATGGAATCGACTCGATGATGCCTTTCTATTAAGGTCTGTCCATGAAAGTAAGCTGAATGGATATCAGCTTCATTACCCATGCCAAAAAGATGCCATTTTACCTTATCTTCCACACACATTGTGAGGTTTGGAAGGTATCCGTACATGTACCCGTTGATTGCTAAAAGAAATATTGTTTATTACAGTTAACCTTCACAGGCCTTAGGATCTTCTTCAAAAGCAGGTCTCATACAACCATTGCTCTATTCTTCAGAACAGAAAGAAGCTCAAAATGAAACTCTGCACCTTTGAAAGTTAGCCAATGTCAGACACACACTTTATCTGCACAACCACCTGCATGGGCAGCAGCGCCTGTTATGATTCTTGAATCCATGTCAGAGCCAAAGGTGTCGTCTTTGTTGATGTCAACAGTAAAACTGTTTTTCTGAACTGCAATATTATACTACAGAGTTCAGGACTAAGAAACAGAACAAAGTAACACAACTCTGTTCAGGGCACCTGGGAAATTATACTAGCAAAGAGGTTCTGGGCACCTAAGAATTTTATATTGCAGCTCCAAAGGTCTGATTGTACAATACTGGCCTTTTTTTTTTTGGGGGGGGAGGGAGGATGTGTGGGTGTGTTCTTTGTAAAAGGATCTTTCTTAATCCTCTGAGCAAAAGCCCTGCTTAAACAAAACAAATATCTACAATTCATCTGGAGATAACAGAGCTAACACCTAAAATATTACTTCACCATGTCAATAACAAGCAACATTAACATGATGTTCTCTTACAGTGCATTTTATTGCTTTCCTGGAAGTCCTCATCATCTTTGTCAACTTTGGAAGGTTCAGAACAGTATGTCCTGATATTATCCTCTAGATACCAGCTGAGGTTTTCATCCACCACAGAAAACATAAGGATAAATTCAGCATCGAAGTGTTCACCACTGCCCTTATCCATTGTATCTGAAAAAGCAAATGCTGTATTCAAAATTTTTGGCAACTGACATTATCTTTTCATCAGTTTTAAGTGTAGTGTCAGTAGGGCTGGTCACTGCTTACTTCATATTTTGCCTCTTTTTTTGAGTGTGAGTGTACACAAACTTAGAGACAAGCTTGGAAAAAATATCGATTTTGACAGATACCATAAAATAAATTTACTAAGAATAAATATTGCATGTGATAAGATTACAGTAAATCTGTTTCACTTATCAGTATTTACACATCCTTTTGCATTACTAGCATAAACATATCTCAATCATATGGATTGAGTGGACATCACATGGACAAAGTATTCTGCAAATTATATTTGCTGCCACACAAAATCGAACTACTTCCTTTAGTACTGAAAGGCAGCTAATCGAGAAGACAAAAATCTGCTGTTTCAAAATTAACTGTAATCTTCTCCTCTTTCAGCAAATTATTTCACTGATACTTAACAATAATCATTATCAATCACCTTATGTTCCTACGTATGTATTTATGGTTTACCTTTCCTGCAAATTATTAAAGGCCCAACAAGCCCAGAGGCAACATCTCTTGGAGCATCTACATGGGAGTGATAAACCCTGGTTATGCAGTCTGCATCTCCCTCAGCTGGACCGTGATCTTCTGTCACATCCCATGTAAAGGTGTACTGGCCTCCAGGCTCCACAGCATCATCTCTCTTCTGCAGATCTTTGGTGTTGTCAGGATAAAAAGCACCTGAAGAATGCCATGCAGCCAACATTAACACAACACATTCACAACATGGTGTCAGGATAGCACTTGCCATGCTTTTAAGCAGACTACATGTAGCAGTAACATGGATTGAACATATGAATACAAATTTTTTAAAAAGTCATTAAAATTAGGTGAGTAGATTTTTCCTTCTGTTTGGGAGTCTCTTCATTTGCCTTTGAGTTCCATGGGAGCACTTCGATTAATGGCACATTAAATTTAGTCCTTAATTTATTGGGAGGGCACTATGTACTTCTGCTAAAAAGATAACAATTCAAATATTTGTAAAACATTTGTTAAATATTAATCTTGGAAACTGTTCTAAAATATTGCATATATCCTCAAGGAACAAGAGCAACAGCAAAAAAAAAAGTTAAACATTGTTACAACAAGTGCGTGTTCTGCTACATAACACAGGGTTCTGATCCCACAGAATGTATCTATATCAAACCACATATTAGTTGTAATAAAAAATGTCACAAAATATTAGAAGTTAGGATGATACCTCATAAATTCTTCTAAAGATAAAATTTTAAAGACTGCTTTTGAGACAGCAAAAATTCATGCACTGTTTTTAAGGCAAACTAATAAAACTTTCAACATCCATACTCTGGTGCTGTCTGGTGCAGAAAATCACCTGAATGTGGCAAGACCACTTATTGCAAGGGCCAATCATCACTAACCCCACTAGCACTCCTACAACACATCTTAAAGTGTGTAAGACTTACCTAATTAATTTATTGCTAAGCAGTAGCTGTTTCTTTATTTTAAGAAATTCTTGTGTATCTTACATAAAAATTTAATGTTAAGAATTTGGAACTGTAAGTTATCACTGTTAACAATATATTCTTCATAACAGTATCATTTTTTTCCTTTAGATATCATCAACATCTGTATTTCTTATGCACCTTTATGCCCTTATTTCAGGTGAAATTTTGACCTAAAATCACTTTCTTTATGAATTCCACTTTTGGCTTTGTCTTTCACTCTCAAAAAAAAGCATCAAAATTCTTATCTCTGATTTTAAATTGATTCTGTCCAATTTTATATCTTTATTTACTCAACCAGTGTTTGGTGAGAAAACATCACTCACACTCAGACAAATTATTAACTTTTGATAAATTCTGTCACACACCAGACTGAATCTTACCTTCATTTTCCTTTGTGTATCTTACACCATGTGGGTGCAGCGTGTAGTTTCTAGAGGCCAAGTTTTTCAAGTGAATAATAATGGAATCCCCAACTTCTCCCTTAATGATAGGGCCTAAAAAACCCAGCCATGAAGGTTTGTCAACTATTGCATTATACAAATGATCAGTGAACTGAGTGTAGACCGCCTTCTTGTAAGTGCTTCCTATCCTATGCAGTCCTCTTTCGAGAAAGATTCCAGCCTGCCTGTACAGAAAATACACAAACACACCTGTAGTGTCAGATACTCGTTTTATATTTGAATGGTGTTAACTAGTAGTGTCTCAAATAAAGACCAGGCCTCCATAGTGCTATGCACAACTACATCTGGTTTTAGGTACAAATACATCTCTTAATCATAAAGAGTTAGGCCATATAGAGATTAAATACTATGCACCAACCTGATTTTTTTCTACCTATTTTGTAGACTGACTATAAGGGTACTTGATACAATTTTGGGCAAATATGAGACCATGTGGACAATGTAAATAATAGTTCTTACTGCTTAAAACTTTTGTACTTACATGCTTAAGTTGCTGTATAATTTTTCCACGGCCTGTTAAAAATAACTATTTCCACCACCACGCTGCTATGTTTGCTGCACAGCCATTGCTCCATTGCACTGAGAGGCAGACATTTAAGATGTTTGGACATGAGCAAAACTACAAGGTGCTGCTGATGTCCAGTGCATGCATGGGGGTATGGGCATGCAGAAGGCGGAAATGAGTGAGAGCAAGCCCTAAGCTTGCTCACCATCTATAGGTGAAGAAGAGTCACAGCCTCAGAGCTTGATAAGGATTTACCTTAATAGTCTCATTTTTACAGATTCAGCCCAAAAATACACAAACAGTTTACATGAGAGCAGGGAATTAGTAATGACCTCCTCAATCACTAAATGCCTTAACTATGGGACAACTGCTCCTCTAAATTAATGAAACACATACTAAAAAGTGCTTGGTTAGCAAGGTAACAGCCTAAACCATGAGCTAAAATAAGACTGATGGAGATGGTATTTCCTACACATGGCATCAATACCTCTGAACCACATACCTATTGTGGAGATGCTGCCTAAGCACTGCTCGCTGCCAGCAAGGGGTCACTACTTGTCTCTGACAACTATCAACTAACAGCTTTGGAGCCAACCTCTGCCTGTGTTGAGGATCTGATAACTCTCACTAAAGAGTCTCAGAAGTCTCTGAGAAGTTATCTTTGTGGGAAAAGTGCTTATATTTGCTAACTTCAGTGGTGAGAGAAACTGCCAGCACTGGCTGTTCAAACAATTAGCACTACTCTTGTAGCTACTAGTAGCTTGATCTAGTTGGAGATGTCTCTGCTTATGGTGGGAGGGTTGGACTAGATGACCTTTGGAGGTCCCTTCCAGCCCAGAGATTCTATGACTCTATGATACTATTGGCTGATGCTGTTAGCCCAAACTCCACAGTCTCTTTAACAACAAATCCTCCTGCACATTTCCATGCAGATTTCAGGAGGACTAGCTATGGAACCAGATCCTGGGCTGCATCAAGAGAAGTGTGGCCAGGAGGTCGAGGGAGGTGATTCTCCCCCTCCACTCTGCTCTGGTGAGACCCCACCTGGAGTACTGCATCCAGTTCTGGAGCCCCCATTACAAGAGGGACGTGGACCTGCTGGAGCGTGTCCAGAGAAGGGCCACGAGAATGATCCGAGGGCTGGAGCAGCTCTCCTACGAGGACAGACTGAGAGAGTTGGGGCTGTTCAGTCTGGAGAAGCGAAGGCTCCGAGGTGACCTTATTGTGGCCTTCCAGTATCTTAGGGGGGCCTACAAGAAAGCTGGGGAGGGACTTTTTAGGATATCGAGTAACAACAGAACTAGAGGGAATGGGGCAAAGCTGGAAGTGGGCACATTCAGGCTGGATGTGAGGAAGAAGTTCTTCGCCAGGTGAGTGGTGAGACCCTGGAATGGGTTGCCCAGGGAGGTGGTTGAGGCCCCATCCCTGGGGGTCTTTAAGGCCAGGCTGGAGGAGGCTCTGGGCAGCCTGATCTAGCGGGAGGTGTCCCTGCTCATGGCAGAGGGGGTGGAACTGGGTGATCCTTGTGGTCCCTTCCAACCATGACAGATTCTGATCTGTTTTGGCAGAGGACTTTGGAGCCCTGGTGGCTCGGTGGTAGGACTTGATGATCGTGGAGGTCCCTTCCAACCTAAATGATTCTATGATTCTATGATTCTAAGTAACTTATTCCAGGAGGAGGCAATCCTGGGAGATACGGCAACACTGCCTGAAGTTCAGCAGCCTCTTGTTTTCTCATCTTACATGATGAGAAATTCAGCTGGTATGTTTTCATACTCCCCACAGGCCATATTCTGAAGCAAGTTAATACTGTCCAAAAATGTGAAGTATTTCCCACAAGGCTGAGCATTGTTTAAGAATGTGGGGAAGGATTATTTGTACCTTGGCAAGCACAGATCTGAAGTGTAATTAAAATGCCAGTTCAGAGCTCTACAAAACTTGGATAGCGTAAACTTAGCTGTGAAAGCTCAGTTACTGGAAGCTTGTGTGCTTGAAGCCTTTTAGCCACAAATTAAATCAAACAAATATGATATGGTTCTTTTTGGCTTGTTTGAACAGCTACCATTTAATTGTAGAGTATTCCTTCCAGCAGGTAAACAAGCTCTTCCCTTCTGCTCTTCCCTGCCTATATAAATATCAATCTCTCTAAAAATACAGTCTCACAGTTGAACAGCTCAGAAGAAGAATCAGAGAGGCTGAAAATGAAAACTACAATAAAAGGGACCAGCAGGCATACAACTAGCGAAAAACTGAAATTAGTTTAGCATGCTGTTGGTTGTCATAGAGCAGAGAGAAGCAGTGAAAAAGCTGTGAATAGCAGTGGCTTGTTGTATTATAACACTGCTTTGCAACTTTCAGACAAGATGCCCTGCTTCCACCATTTATTAGAATCACTATGCTCTTGAATCACTGGCAGTGTCTAACATGTCACTCAGTTTATAAGTAAATGACCACTGCCAGCAATGACCAGCTAAAAAGAAAATCTATGCACAGTAGGAAAGTTCTACATTTGTGAAAATTCTGTGTTTGAAAACATACCAGCAAAAGTCTTCTCTTCAGCACTGGCACCTTAGCTATTCAAAATTAAACATTGTTAGATGTTCAGGGTGTTTTTCTTTTCTCTCTCTCTACTGAGTATACATTTCATCGCAACAATTTCACAGGAGCCCTACATAATCCAATGCTTTTAATTTGCAGAGAATTAGAATGTAATGCTCAAAGCAAGCCAGGGTGGAAAAAAAAGAAATAATCAAAATTCCCTTATACATCTGGCAGAAAAATCCACTGACACCAACATGATTCATTTCACTGCCTTCACCAATTTTTCAGTCTGGCCCAACTGTCTAAAGCAAACAATGCTGTAAAAATCAAACTTAACCAGTGTTGACTGTTTTACTTACTCTTCTTCTGCAAAAAGCTGTCCAGATACGATATTGGTATTGCCAGGTGCATAGTTCCACACTGTCTCTACAATGCCGATGTAGTACTCCCTGTTCACTGCCCCAGCTTGGCAAAAGCAAGAAACCAGCAAGCACCTTAGGAAGAATAGATTCATTCTACATCCACGAACCTTGTGGAAAATGTGAAATAAAAACACTGGACAAGCACTTACCTTTATATGTTCTTGTCTCTCTCACCCCCCACCCTCCTTACCTCCCCCCTTCCCGCTCCTGTTTGCTTTGGTGAACACAATAAAATGTTGCACAATGTCTCTGTGTGTCAAGAGTAAACACAAGATTCTGGTAAGCTCGGTCAGTTCAGATAATCTTCAAAGGAGGTTGTTTGTTTTTTTTTTTTATTTCTGCTAACTTACTATCACACAAATTACCATAAATGGTACCATAAACGGACTGTTACTGGATTGTAAATCTTGTAGCTGAAAGTACTGTCGATTTAAAAAGATCTACAGACTTCAGCTTAATTACATCCTTCACTATCTTTATCACTCTCTCTCTGTAGCTTATATACTACTGAGACAGTAATTTCTGTGATATGCAGCACAAGAACACAGCTTTTCAATTGTATGGTGAAAAGCTCTAGCTGCTACCCGTGTTCCCCAGTGCTGACAGACATGAGAGGAACCTGGTGCTTCTGTGCTGACAGACTGGGCACAAGGCAGGCCATGTCCTGCAGACCTGCTGCTGTTTCCCTCGCTGGGTCTGGATCTACAGATCACTGCTTCTTCCCCCCTGCACAGCAATCACTACACTGGTGTGACACAGGGAGATACGGGAGGACTGAGGTTGAGGTCATTGGTATCAGAGCAGAGCTTACATGCTGATATATGCATGAGTAAGCACTGCTAACCCAGCACAGTTCCCTTGGAAATGGAATTTTAGCATGGAGTGTGGCACATACAGCTAGAATTGACAAGGACAGGCTGTTCACAGATAGAGGCAAGGGATGTTTGCATCTCACTTCCCAGCAGTTTCACTATTGCACAAATGGAAATGAGGCTCAGAAATTCTGCAGAACTAACTCTCTCTGTTATCTTCCTCCTAGTCTATCACTACACAGGATAAGCCACATTCTTCAATGCCTGAAAGCAGAATAGACCCAGGGCAGAAGGTTATACTTTTGTTTTATTCAAGTTCTGTAAACATTTTGTACCTGTTACTCTCATTGAAAAATAAGAAGGAAATTGGACCTTCAACAGGGGATGTTTAAAAAGCACCTAACCAAAGTTTGCAATGGCAATTGTTTTTTCAAGCACACATCCATTACAACATGGTTGTATCTAAAGCGTTAGACACACAAAGTCATCTGTAAACTTGCAGACTGTAAAGGCTTCTACTGAGAAATATATATCTTCAGTCCCTTGGGAATTCTTAAAAAAAAGAAATCTCTTTGACTCTAAGCACTGACACAATCACACCTATTCCAAATGACATTTTTCATTGTATGGCAACTCAAAAAATCTCTAATAACCATCATCTTCCTTGAAGCTACCTTCTTAGTGGTCAGAAAAATTATTATTTTGGATAGAAGACTAAAATTCAGAACATAACTAAAGTGCAACAGCTTTCCTTTGATGACGTACAAATCCACATCTTATTTACCAGGACTGTGGTATGCAGATAAATTACCTATTTTAATCACTACTCATATAAAAAAATTTCAGGCACTGATGTCCATAATCGCAGCTTTTAGAACCTTCTATACATCTGCATTAAATGGAAGATTCTGCTTCTGTCTAAATGACTGTGGCCAAAGCTCAGTTTTCGAAATCCGACTGTATGATGAAATTCTGGAGTTTCCCAGGTTGGCATCACATACTCCAAATTATTTCTGCAGGGCTTTCGTTTTTTCTTTGCTGCAGATGAAGGTCAATGATTCATAGGAAAGATCAACTTGCACACGTTGCCTCTGCCCCATCTGTAAATGAACTCAGATGAAAATCAGAAGAAACTTACCTTCTCTTATGCTACTTAAATTCAAAGTAATTCCTAAATACTCAGCTAACAGAACAGAGTTGTCCATGTCTATGTAGGCTATTTGGTTTATTTTTGTTCAAATTTCCACTGGACTGAGGAAAAGGAAAAAAAAGCACAAGCAATATCCTTGAAATCACATTTAGATAAGGGTATAAGCATAGGCGTTTATTTGTCTTAGCCTCTTGAGTCCTCCAAATAACTCTTTCTTGATTTGCAAAAGTACTGCATGTTGTTTTTATTTAAAGATAAAACAAAATCTTCTGACAGACAAGATTTTTCCATTACTGCTTTTAATTGTGCCTCACCCAAACTTTAAGCTATTGCTATGCCTGAGCACACTCCTATGACCTTTCTCTTAAGGAACTCGAAAAACTGACAGAGATGACTCTACTTCCAAAGTCTTCATTAGTATCTTCATCAGGTGTTTGAAGGGCAGGAGCTTCTCTGCTCTGGTTGACAGGGCCTAAAAAGACTGAGCACTTAATTTAATAGGTTAAATTATGAGTCTGCAGTTTGGTGTCATTATATCCTCCTCATTTCTCATACTGAGGATGCTTAATGCTGTGACAGTTCTGAAAGTCCTCAAAATTGTACTGAAAATATAAAGCTGATCTTTTACTTCCAAAATTTTCCATGAGATTAAAAAAAAAGGAATATTCTGACCAAAAAAAAAAAAAAATCTTAACAAAAGCTCCCAGTGAGATTGAATTGAAACTCCACAGTTTGATAATTCCCTAATCAGAATGTGTTTATAGTCTGCTACCCATGATGCTGTTCCAAGTTCCTGCAAACCTTTACAGGTAAGCACCTTTTAACTTTTAACATTCTGGGGAGCTTCATTTGTCCTCTGCCACCCTATTCTTTTTCAGTGTGGAAAAAAACCTCCAACCAACATGTGAAGAATTACCAATGAGGGAACTGTACTTCAGTAAGACTCACTTTTACCTACATGAGGAATAATATGACCAAAATGCAGAAGTGGATGGGGCTTCACAGTATTTTACTACAAATCTCTGTCCACAATTATTTGTGTTCAAAACTGAGCCTCTACAGCTATTTCCAGCTGCAGTATTTTAAATTAATTACATTCTTGAGCCATACACAGCACAATAAAACTTCAACAAAATGCAATGTCTCGTAAGGAATAAATAACGCTGGAACTCTTACTTCTAGATTTTAGCATTAACTCGTTACTTACAGAGGCTTATAAAAAATCCGCAGCTTTCTTCCAGGTGTGCCCAGGCTATTCCATGTGTGGATTTTAGCAGGCAGCACATGCACTTCAGGTTCAGGAACACTTAAAAAATGAGGTTTCTTGTATACCAGCATGGTGTGAGCTTTTTCCTGGCTCTGTGGCTCACTTCTGCCTACTGTTGTCAGGGTAAGGTCTGTATTCTGCAGCTGGAGAGCCAGATGGTCACATTGCCTCAACCACCACTGTCAGTTGCTGTTTATGTCTAGATTTCAGGCCAGTCAATATTTCTTACAGGAATCTTGGTTTTGCTACCAGGCACAATTCAAAGCACCTCTTGTTAGAGATACCATATTTAGTATTGAAGCAGGACTTAAACGGATTAGATCAAGTTTAACTTAGCCTTACATGCAAAAGCCCTGTGTGAAAGAAGTTGTTAAATTTGTAAAAGCAACCCTCTGTTAGCCTTTAGAATTCTTACCACCAACTTCAAATTAATAAACTGTCCACTTAAAAGCTGAGCTGTCAAGACACAGTTGAGTCTGGTTATGGTGATGGAGATGTCAATATCTAGATTATGGATAGAGGGTTGTAGTATCAATACCTCCAACAAGAACTAAACTACATATCTCTTTCTCTGATTTAAGCCACTAAGATAGAAGATATCAGCCTGTGGTAGAGCAGAAATGTAAATTCACAAGACATAATCACAAAAAAAAAAAAAAAAAGTATTAAAGATGTCTGAGCCTTGCCAGTGGTTAAGTACAGCCATTAATAACACCACTACAGAAAAAGCTGTCAGACTAGATACTCTCCTTCTGTCTCCTGTCTTCCAGGCTCAAGACTTACTGTGATCAGAGACAGAATTTATTGAAAGTGTAGAGGACACCTATAGCAACAAGATAAAGGGTTAAGAGTTTCCAAGTGTAACTTCAAGATTTCATTGCTGTCATCCAGCATAGCAAAATCTTTCTCAATAGACCCTGTTTGCCTGAAGATAAGCCTGAATTTTCCCCACTGCTGAGCAAGAGCTTTACTAGAATAGCCTGTTTGTTTGCTTTCCCCAGTGAAACGGCACCTTTCATTTTAGAAGTATTTAGCAATTCTAGGGATTTTCTGCTTTGAATGTCTACCTCACACATAATATTTTTCATCCAAATAACCAAAACCTTTTTTCAAATATTTCAATGATTTTTAAACTAAGCAGCTCCATGATTTGCAGGCATTAAATCAGCAAGATTCTCTAAGATGGCAGGAATACAGGTTCATCGTTAAGTTCTTTCATTTCCTACAGTCTGCAAACGATATCTACAAAACCGTAAGAATACGGGAATACCACTTCAGTAGATATGTGATGTAAAGTATATTTAAGCCTAAGGAAAACAAGTGTGTAGCTGCAAACAGTCCCCACATTGTAAACACGCCTTTTTATCATGCATTTCTGAACATCCATGCCACCTCGAACCATCTCCCAAAAGGCTAGCCCCATTCCTACACATCCTTCATCTCTTTATTACTTCTTGCAACTTAATAGAAACAAAGCAATTAAGACTTTAAATGCATTCTTCAAATTCTACAGGAAGAAATCAGCTTTTCAAAACAATCCGATAAGGGAATATCAAGGCAAAATCTCAATATTGTCTTGAAACAATTAAATTCCTGATATACTCTATTTTTTCTAAATTTCTTACCCACAGCTGCCACTTACTGTATGGTCTGCAGTTCTAAGAGTTTAATATTAGAAGCTGATATAGCTGAGTCCTACTAATTCTGATGCAGTAAGGCATTACTCTAAGTCTCAAGTACAGATTTTGCCTTTGTCTGAGTGTTCAGTCTCTCAAAACCAGAGTGCTGAACAGAGCCAAACGTTGCCCATGCAGCTACTAATGAGCTATATGTCCACTTTATTGTGAACTCCTGAATTTCCAC